ACAGAGAAGCACTTGTCAATTCTTAGACATGCCTGTCCAAACTTAATCCCAGTTGTGCCACTGCCCAAGCTTTGTTGTGCCTTAGCGCTTAGATTCCGAAGCCATTGGTCAACCCAAGTTCCCTTCGCCGCCACTGCCTAGAGGCGATGCCTTTGGAAAATGTCAGTGATAAACCGCGAATTGTCAGCTCAGCGATGGGTGAAACGATCGGCCCCATGAAGATCCAGTTTTGGGAATCAAAAGGTGCCCAAGCTAGTCATCGGCTATGACCATGGACATTAGCCACAAAACCTGTACGTATCACAGCAAGGGGTCATTTGCCGTGTGAGGCATGAGTTGGCTTCTGGTCACTTTCCGTGATCCCAAGATCCCACGTGAGGGACCCAGTCAGTGTTGTCACCCCTCACAAAGGAGTTTGGTTTTCGACCCTTCCCCATGAAGGAGCATGAAGGAGCACATCGGGGAAACCATTACACACACACACACACACCCACCCGCCCCCCCGCCCACCCACCCACCCACCCACCCACCCACCCACCCACCCACCCACCCACCCACCCACCGACCCGCCCGCCCGCGCACGCACGCACGCACGCACGCACGCACGCACGCACGCACGCACGCACGCACGCACGCACGCAGAGACACAGACCGTGTGTGTGGTGTGTTTCCCGACAGCAGGCACCAGTCCCGAGAAGGCCATGGTTGTGGCTTTGAGTTCGCACTGTTTGGTCAGACGGCTTACTTTGCATTGCAAGACTTAACATTTGCATGCTTAGCTTTGTTTCCCATTTGGGGTTCCTCTGTTTTCCTTTTTGACCAGCGAAAAGTCAACATAGCCAACCATGCAAAAGCGGGGGGAAACCCAGACCTCACGTGCTGCCCAGTTCTTCCTTTTTTTCAAAGTCACAGTTCCGTTTTTTGTTGTTGTCAGTGGCTCATCGAGTGGCTCGAGTGAGCGGCATGCAAGGAAAGAGCGCAGCACTCCATTCACGCGCAGCATCTCGGATCTCGGAATGGAAGCCAAAGCCATACGTCTCTAGAGGTTACTTTCTCATTCTTTCCAGGGATCCTTCCTCCAATGAAATCTGAGCAAGGCCTCGATGTCGAACATATGGATTTGGAAGAATGAAATGGGTCCTGGAAATGAAGCCATGAAGCTATGGGGAAACAACCTCAAAGTTCTTGTTTGCCCAGCACAAAGGCTGAAGGTCTAAATGGGTTTGTCCTGAAAATGGCAACCGTATCTGCTCGGACTAGTTTTGATCACATGGACATGGCATCTTGAAAGCCAGAGGGCCTGCGTGAAATGCTGTTCTCAAGGTATTCTTCTCTCAACTTCCGTTTGCTTGAGGTGTCCCCCTGCTTTTGTAGGGCTGAAATAGCAGGGTGACTCTCCGGTCGGCATGGCCCTGTGCGCGGTTTCCGTAGGGAGTCTTCCGGCTGTCTGAAGGGTGGCTGCACATAGCAAGCTTGAATGAGTGTCAGATGCTCCAATTAGTGCGAAATGGATGTGCGTCCATCCGCAGTAGTTCGCTTCCCTTTCAGCACTTGGCTCGGGCATGCAACTCTGTGGGCATCTTGCCCGCCATGCTTTGGGTCTTGGTGTAGAGGGAATCCTGTAATTTCGGGGGAGTCACCTCCCCGGACAAATTCCGCTTGGTTGATTAGTCTGCGTCGACATTACTTCCAATCAAGGCATTTGGGGTTGGCTCCTCCCCTGTTGGAAGAGCCAACCTGTTCTAAATGCATGGCGAGGGGGTGGTCCAAATTCGTTGGAAAGAGATGGACAAAGGGTACCTGGTCAGGAACATCTCGGCTGAATCCCGCCTAAAGTACAAGTGGATTGATGTGTTACTTCCCCAGGCCCTTTGGGTTTTGCACTCTTGCCCAGTGGCAGCCTTTATTCATTTTGGGGGGGAAAGGGGGTTCCCTTTAAACTTCTGCCAATCCATTTTTTCCCCTGGCAATTGGCAATGCAACCTTAACCAAAAGGGTGCACGTTTTTCGCCCATGTCTGTCAGGAACATCTTGCTGTACCTTTGGGGCATCTTTCTGAACCTCATCAGCCTGAACACCACTTCTTCCGCTACCTGGGCCGGGTACAACTCCTGGACTTGGGCTTTGGTGGTGAACAACTCCCTAGTGGGTCTTTGCATCTCCGCGATTCTGCCACCCGGCTTTGATCCATCTGGGTGAATTATAACGACCTCACACGACCGAATTCACCCCAAAGAGTGGTTTATGTGGGGAATAGCCCCCGAACCACCTTTTTTCAGGCTGGTGAAATACTATAATTCACCCAGGTATGCTCCATGTCTACCTATGAAGCCAACAAAGGAGGTCGTGCAGGTCCTCTAACGGACTCCTTGCTTTAGGTGTCGGAACTCTTGTGAGATGTTCAGATGATACCGATGGACAAAATCCCGCTGCTGTTGATAGGGGGGCATTTTCCCATCTCCACATCCGCGCAGGTGGCACACTGCGTCCCTTTTCTCACCCCCAAGCGAGTCGACCTTTTGGCCGTTTAGTCTTCTATTCTGGGTCCAGATCTAGTCAAGGTACCACAGAGTTAACAGGTGATTTCCAAGGGTCCTTTGGGCAACTGAGTTGTTGTTTGGTAAGTTTCCCACAACAACAGTCGTTAAAGCACACTGGCCTGGGGAAGACACAAATAACTCGCACGATCTCTCACAGCTCACGTCGACATTTAGGTATGACAGCTCCGGTGACATCTAGTTCAGTGTTTGCAAAGCAAGTCGAGGGCCCTTTGTTCAATCCCACAGCTTCTGATAGTGGCTTGATTTGCTTTTAATGCACCCCACAACTCCACACTATTGAGTTCTGCCCTTGTCTCTTCGGATCCGGACCCTTTTGTTTCCGCTGGAATGCAGAGGAGTAGAACGACAGCCTTCTCGAGTTCCTTCCGTTCGTTTTCGGGGATGCCACGAAACCTTTAGTTAAACGGGTTCTAATAGACGGGTCCCAGGTTGCACCAAAAGAGAAACCATGTGGCTGTGGGTCAAGACCCTGTACCCCTGGTGAACATCAAAATAGGTGGTATATGGGTGTTCATCCGCCCCAAAATGGAGGTATAGGTTATGATGACCCATGGCCATGTATGTAGCCTCCCAGAGCCCAGTTGTTAGAGTTAGAACGAAGCCATGGGTCACCCGATTTAGGAAGTACGCGGACAACATCTCCCGGGTCTTTGCCTCTGCCGCGGCCATGCTGCTCACCATGTTTTGCTCAACGGCCCTCTTCGGAGACCAGGTGGAAGGGAAGGGTCGTGGACCCGGCGGTTTTTTTGCTCAGCCTCGACCCTTGAGTCCGATGTTTTCTTTGTTGGGCTGGTTGGCTGGATCGTTGCTTGGTTAGCTGTTTTGTGTTTGTCCTTTCTTTCTGTCCTTTTGTTTTGTTTTTCTCTTCTTTCTGGTCCTTTTTTGTTTAAGTTCTCTTTGTTTTTCAGAGGCTTAGTACATGTTCGGACCGGCACCCTTCAGGGTTCCGTCCCACTGCAGTGTTTCCCATGCAGTGCCGGGCGCTAGGTCACGCCGCAGCTGATGCTTGCGCTGCTGATTGTGGCCACGGCCATGGCGCCGCTGCTGCGCCATCCAAGCCCCGAAGGTTCAGAGATCCCAACCCATGCGGAGCCCGTTTGATTCATTACCTGGGCAGACTCAATTTAGTACCAGTTACCAGGTTTTGGTGGGATTTGTATTTTGAGGGCTTCTACAACGGTACTTTTGGTTTGGATCTGTGTTAACCCTTAAAGCACAACTTAAGTCATCTCGGTGGATCTGCTGGGACATTTCAGCGAGGGGTTGTACATGTTTCTTGGTTTCCCTTGTGTTGAGTGAGTTTCCTGTCACGGGGGGCGATGTGTGTGTGTGCGGATTATAGAGGAGCCCGGTTCTGGTTCCTTTTTGGTGTTCGGTTTTGCAAGAACCAAACGTCAATGGGTTTTGGTCGCTGCTGAAGCGGGCTTGTTCTTCTTCTGGGATTATTGTGCAGAGCATGTGGAGACATACCCAGATTAGTATCAGCATCCGTTCATGAAATCGATGATCGATGTGCTGTTCTCTGGTTGTTTTGTGGGGGAACCGTCGAGTTGAGCTGTTTTGTGTCCGGTTTGGATTGGTGGTTTGGGGGGTTTGATCCCCTGGTTCTTGTGGATGGTAACTACGAAACTACTTCCTAACCTCCAAACCACCAAACCAAACCACCACGGAAGCTGAATCACTTGGCCCGCTTTAAAAAAGGAAGGTTCCTTTGGCAACGGATACAGGGGGAAATTTAGGACACCCAGCCTAAGCCCAGCGGGGAGCGTGCGATGAAGCTTTGGTCGGATCCTTGGTGTTCTCTGGTTCCATTTCGGTCAAGTTCCCAAAGCTTAACCTGTCACGTCTGGGTCCAAGGGGGTCTGTTTGGCAAATGAAGCCTGAAATGGATCTCAAGGCTTGTGTTTGCATGGCTCCAGTTGCTTTCAGAGGGACATGGCCATGACTAGTAGACACTCTATCATCGCATGTTGTTTGACTCAAAGCGCAAATGGAACTAGGTTTCTGCAGGGTTGCGAGCCTCTAAAAGATCAAATTACAAAGGTAGAACACGTTCCTTTGTCGCGTGTCTGTTTCTGGGGGCTGTCACAAACAATTGGGGTTGTTTCCCTTTAACCTTGACGGTGATAGAATAGAGAGGCCAGTTTTTGCACATGTGTTTGGCCCTGACAGGGTGGAATTAGAGCATCCCGGCAAGTTTCTGCGCTAGCTCAGGTGCAGTATCACGTGCCAGCGAAGGCAGCACTCGCAGATGGCAAGAACGGGAAAAAGTTCATGCGGCCGTGATGATGCGAGACCTTGATGTGAACAGGCAATCTTGCCGGGGTATTGGTTGTAGAGTTCTTAAAATCGCGGATCTATAAGAAAACATTGGCTTCCAGGTTTCTCTTTGACCAACCACTTTTGGTTGACCCCTTTGAGAAGCATACGCTGTCCAAGGACACGGAACCTCCCGTGGGGGTCACGCCCAGAGATGTCCGGGCCGCCAAGCTCTTCAAGTGGAGGGGTGGCTACTTGTTTGAGGATACTTTGTCTAGGTTGCCCAGCTAGGTGCCCTTTCTCAAAGCGTCCTGAGCAGCCGTAAATTTGTCACATTGTGTATCTTTGGTTGCGCTAGTGACCCGGACTCTGCGTACTTCTCTTGGAGGGGTGAGCCATGGCGTGTTTGACACGAGAGGGCAAAGTAAACCCAGGTTTTTCATGTTTCCCTGTTTCGACCAGTATCACTGTGCAACTCGTTAGAGGTATGCGTCGTTAGCTCTATGCGATTCACCCCTTTTTTGGGGGGAGTTCCCCCACTAAAATAGACCAGATAAAGAGGGTTCCCTTATTCTAACCTCTCTACTGGAGGGGTCCCCCTAAAAGACACCCAAATATGAAACATCATCCAGATGTGGGCCAATAAAAGCACGCACACCTGGGGGTCCAGTAACATATCAACAGCATGTTCTTTTTCTTGAGCCCAGTGCCTTAGGAGTTGGTTTAAAAACAAGCCAACAGGATGTTCATGTTGGAGACTTCACGTCAATTTGTGCCATGGTCGCCTTTGGACCGTCAAAGACCCCTTGGGGTTGGCCGGAATGGTCATGAACCCCGCAAAGAGTCAAGAGCACTGGCATTCCAGCGTTGCCAGTTGGATGGTGCTTACAGAAGCTTTAGAAGACGGCCATCATGGGAACAGGGAATGACCATGGCCTAAATTTTACCAAGACCTCTAGTGTTCTTATGGTGTCGACGGTTTTGTTGGAGCGGGCGTGCCTTGAAATTCTACCAACACAAGGAACATGTTTGGTGGCCCATAATGGGTGCTTTCCCGGCCAGTTTGACGTTTTGAACAATTGCACAGAGTGGGTGTGGCCTAACAGTATCCAATCATATTTGTTTTGTTTGACAAGAATGGCTTTCCCAGTGATGAACATCCAACAAAGGCTCTTATTTCTTTTGAAACCCCGTGGCAGCGCTGAGGTCTTTGAGAGAAGGTATCCGGAGGCGCCCGCATTTCGCATTGCCCGGCACCTCAGATCGGCTGAGAGATCGTCGGAGGACTTATACAGATCCTCTGCAACCCCGGCTTCCAGGGTTCACCTTGATTGCTCCTGAGGGATTGGCGGCTCGAAGTGGGGGGCATCCATGGGCTTAACCCCATGGGCGGTCCCTTACAACTCCCCAGTGCCCTTGCATCTTTTTGGAGGATAATTATTTGGACTACCACCCCCCCGAATTTCCCCCCCCCTCCCCTTCCCCCTCCCCCCCTCCCCCCCTCCCTCCCTCCCCCCCTCCCCCTCCCTCCCTCCCCCCTCCCCCCCCCCTCAAACGCGCGAGAGCTTCCCCAAAAAGGCCGCCCTCTTTTTCCCAAGCCACGAGGTTCTGATCACATCGGGCCACAACTTGTTCGCCCTCCCCGACTCCGCGAGGTAGGGCCAAAGACGGCGAAGCCTGCAAAGGCGGGCTGAATCGGGCATGGGCAAGCCGATGTGTATGTAATTATAGATATACACACATTAATATATATATATATGTATACATAATATATATATATATATAGAAATACATTATATATATATATATATATATACAGAATATATATATATATATACAAATATGCATTATATGCATTTGTGTGCCAATGATTGCTTACTCATAGTGTATGATATGTATATATATATTTATATATATATATTCATGACACAGATATCATACATTCGTCTATAGAATATATAGAAACAAATGCATACAGACCTGTTTCGTAGGTAGCACCATTCGCATGGGAGTGCTCGCAGTTTGCGGCATGCCCATATGTATCCAGGGAACGCAAGAACAAATGGAAATGAGCACCACCATTGGCAGCAAGTGAAGTGCAACACTGAGTCGTTTTGTCGAACGGAAGGTCTGTGGATGTCCAACTGCATTTGCATTACATGTGCATATATACATATAGTTATATATATATATAAATCGGTATATGCATGCGCGCGCGCCTGCATATAGATATGTGTGTACATACTTGCATACCTCCTTCTAAGGCGCCCTTGTTTACTCTGACTGTGGATGCTCGAATTGCTGGAAGTGCCCAACCTTCCTTTTGGTGAGTCCATGTTTGACGTATCGGGAGCCCCGTTGTGCTAAACTCAACCCAAGCTGCCAACTTTCGCTTCCCACCACAAGACCATTCCACACCCACGCCAGGATCATTTACAGACATAGACACCCCACTGGCTGTACTGCTGTCATCACTATGGGCAATAGTGTCTATTCAATAGAGCATTTCATTCTATGCAATGTGCTTTCTGTTGCCGCGGCAGCGGGCCCAGAGTCTATTGTTTGCACTCGTGCTTGTGTAGTACCACTTGAGTTGCTCTGAATAGGAACCTACACATAAATGTACAAAGAATAAACAGACACTGCTACATGCAATGCAACAATGGCATCACTATCAAACTCAGTTTCTCCAAGCATCTAAATGAGGATTCCACCTCAAGGCTTTTATTTTCCCTCCAACTTGGCCGATCGAGTCTTTAGCGCATCCACGTCCTTCCTTCATTCCCTAGTTTTAGGGGAGCTCGTTCCACTTGGACATTCGGTGGATTCCACCCCTCAAGTCCCTTTCTGGGTGGATTCCCTAAGACGGTCAGCCGGTGGCGAGTTCGCAAGCGAGGCGCTGCTTGCGAAGCCGGGCCCGCCAGCCCCCAGCCTGAAGCTCGGGGGATCGAGCGGTCGCGCTCATCATGTATGCAGCCATGCTATTTACAGGCACATGAGCGGAGGCTTGTGCCGAGCTGCGGCTTGCACAAAGCTGGGTCCTTTGTCATGTTCCGAGTCCTTGGGGTTTCGTTCCAGGTCCTTGGGGTTTCGTTCCAGGTTTTTGGGGTTAGCGAGATCTGAGCGCTGTGGTTTCGCGTGACGCGAACATGTGTTTCGCCGAGGCACGTGGGGTCTTGAAGAACTGTTTCGGACCCCCTACATGACAAGCGGCTCCTTGGGAAGTGTTTCAGAAGTCGGCATTTGGCACATTGCGCCTTGGGCCTTGCAATTTGAATCGCGGGAGTTTCATCGAGGGCTCCAGTTTGCTTCCCCCAAAATTGTCTTGTGCCCAGGGATGGTTGTACTCCCATGTTAGATCCTTTGGGCTTGAGTCATTTCAATAACGACCGCATGTAGACCACGGCTTGGTTTGCCGGGGGAAAGGAGTCCTATGCGGATGCCATGCATTTGCTTGGAAAGATTCCGCCCTATTTTTTGGGCAGCTTACTTCTTCATTGCGGGCATTGCAAATTGCTGACCTTTGGAATGTGCGAAACAGCTTGGTGAGTTGGCGGATTTGTCTTTGTTTCCCTTGACACACCATGCCAAGGGTAGGAGACTTGCCCGACACTGGGGAAAACGCACGCACACTTATACACGTACAGGTTCTGAAGCGTAAGGTGGTCCAGAATCTACCAGGCACCTTTGTTGAGGGTGTCACGGTGTCAAGTGTTCCTGACACCCCCCCAGCCCCCAAAGCAGCACATGTTTGCTCGACATTTCTAGCAGTCTACAGTCCGTTTGGGACGGACATGAGGGTCTCCCTTGCACTGAGCTTCCGACCTGAAGATGTCCAGCTTCGAGCGCTACCAAACCTCAAGTCAAATCTGGACAAGAGTTTCCTTTCATTTCACTCGGGCTTGTGATGTTAGTACGTGCCTGGTCCTTTTCGGACCTGGTGCCGCGAAAAACAACATACTTAGATTCAAAATAAGAACAAACACGCACACACACACACACATATTATGTATATATATATCAAAATATCCACATATTTGGGAGTGGGGGGTGAGGGCTGCTTCAAACAAATCATGGCGTCTTCTGTCTTTTTGGCCATTTTTGGATGCGGGCAGTTGACCCTGAGGTCGCCTGCAAGCCCCGCAGCGGGCCACGGGGAAATTCCAAAAGCCAGGGGCCCGGGGAGACCGGGGTCAAGGGTCGAACCTCACGACCGAATTCACCCCAAACTGGTGGTTCATACGTTTTTGTTCAATTTATCGGTGGCTCAAACCGGTTCCGGGCCCCATTTGGTTCCAGCTTCTTTGGGGGTTGTGGTTTCCAGTTTGTAAATTCTAGCAATTATGTCTGCCTGGAGTCAGATAGATAGGTACATAGATAGATAGATTAGATAGGTAGATAGATAGGTAGATGGATACATAACAGATAGACAGACAGATAGGCGGACGTGGTAGATAGATGGAGAGATGGATAGACAGAAGGTTAGAGATATAGATCGAAGTATTAGGTAGGCAAATAGGTGGGTAGAACCAAGATGGCGAAACATGTACTTGGGTAGATGGACAGATAGGTGGATAGATAGAGAGATAGACCGGTAGACATGCAGATAGATCACTACGCAGATAGGTAGATAGATTGGTAGACATGCAGACGTGCCGCCACATAAATAGAAGTTACATGGGAAGATAGACAGTTAGGCAGACAGAATTGATTTAGTGACTGGTGTGACTTGATTTTATTTGGTCGGTTGGTTGGTTGACTGGCAGGTTTATTGATTGGTTCGTTGATGGTTGGTTGACTGACTGGCTGACTGACTGACTGACTGGTTGGTGGATTGATTGAATGAATGATTGATTGATTGATTGATTGATTGATTGATTGATTGCTTGCTTGGTTGGTTGGTTGGTTGATTGATTGATTGTTTGATCCTTTTCATTGATCCTATTGATCCTATTGATCCTATGAATCCTATTGATCCTATTGATTGGTCGATCGACTGATTGATTGATAGATTGATTGATTGATTTGATTTGACTTGATTTGACTTGACATGTTTTGATTTGATTTCATTCATGCATTCATTGATTGGTTGGTTGGTTGGTTGATTGATTGATTGAACCAGGGATAGACACACTCAAAGATCTATTAGACAGATAGACAGATGGATGGATATAGATGGATAGATGGATTTGAACGATCGATGCCCAGATAGACGGATGGATTCATAGACAGGTAGAGAGGTAGATAGATGGATAGATAGACAGACAGATAGATAGATAGATAGATAGATAGAATAGAGGAAGATAAAGGGCATGAACAAGCGAAAGGAACATATAGAGAAAGAGAAAGACAACGAGAGAGAGAGAGAGAGAGACATACATATCATAGTCCGTATAGTTTTTGCAATGTCCACCACCGACTGTACTGGCTCTACCGGTAGCTGATTTGCATATCACAAATTTGGAGCCTGTTTTAGACGACTGTCATATATACCCATGAGTTGCGTAAAAGTATCTCGTTGTCAAATTGTGAGCCCTAAGCCCACAGCGATTCATTTAACCGCGACCACGTTACCAGAGGTACAGCACCCCCGCTCCTTCAAGACAATGATTCCAAGTTTTGAACCCATGCAAATAATTAGTTGCTTAGTTGGGGGCTCCCTGAAAAAGCGATGTCAAAGCGCCCCCGATCTACGTGTTGTTGTGCCTCAGTTTGAAGTTTGGCAACGTGAGCACACACATAAAGAAGAACCGTCCTGCGCCATGAAGGTGGATGTTCACTTGCCCAGTGGGGCTGGTTGCTCCCTTGAACTCTCACCGGCGACTCTCATTAGCGAGCTGAAGGCTGCAGCACAGCGGCACTTCCAGCGCCGCTTGAAACTCACTTGGAAAGGCCGGCAGCTGGATCTGACAGCCACGCTGAGTGAGGCCGGGTTTCGAGATGGAGACGAGGTGGTTGCCGTTGTGCAGCTGGGCCGACTGGCTGCCGCCCAGGAGGAGTTCGCTTGGTATGTCCCTGGGGGCGAGGGTTTGACGTGGGGTTTTTCAGCAAGAGGCGGAGACAGCAGCCTGGTGCAAAAGCAGCTGAGGAATGTCCAGCACATCCACGCAACTGCCTGGGCTTTTGCTGCCATTCTTGAATCTGGGGCAGTTGTGACCTGGGGTTCTAGACTATGCGGCGGAGACAGCAGCCAAGTGCAAGAGCAGCTGCGGAATGTCCAGCACATTCAAGGAACTGCCAGTGCATTTGCTGCCATTCTTGAATCTGGGACTGTTGTGACGTGGGGTCGCCCAGACTGGGGCGGAGACATCAGCCGGGTGCAAGAGCAGCTGAAGAAAGTCCATCACATCCAAGCAACCGTTGCTGCATTTGCTGCAATTCTTGAATCTGGGGCTGTTGTGACCTGGGGTGATCCAGGCTGCGGCGGAGATAGCAGCCAGGTGCAGCAGCAGCTGAGGAATGTGAAGCACATCCAAACAACTCGCGGTGCGTTTGCTGCCATTCTTGAATCTGGGGCTGTTGTGACCTGGGGTAATCCAGAAGATGGCGGAGACAGCAGCCAGGTGCAAGATCAGCTGAGGAACGTCCAGTGTATCCAAGCAACTGATGGTGCTTTTGCTGCCGTTCTTGAATCCGGGTCTGTTGTGACCTGGGGTGATCCACGACATGGCGGAGACAGCAGCCAGGTGCAAAAGCAGCTGAGGAACGTCCAGCACCTCCAATCAGCTAGGTGTCCTTTGGGTAGTGTTTTTGCTGCCATTCTTGAATCTGGATCTGTTGTGACCTGGGGTGATCCACGACATTGCGGAGACAGCAGCCAGGTGCAAGGGCAGCTGAGGAATGTCCACAACATCCAAGCAACTGCCTTTGCTTTTGCTGCCATTCTTGAATCCGGGTCTGTTGTGACCTGGGGTGATCCAGAACGTGGCGGAGATAGCAGCCAGGTGCAAGAGAAGCTGAGGAACGTCCAGCGCATCCAAGCAGCTGTGAATGGCGCATTTGCTGCTATTCTTGAATCCGGGGCTGTTGTAACCTGGGGTCATCCAGAAAATGGCGGAGACAGCAGTCAGGTGCAAGATCAGCTGAGGAACGTCCAGCACATCCAGGCAACTGCCGGTGCGTTTGCTGCCATTCTTGAATCTGGGGCTGTTGTCACCTGGGGAAATCCAGTAGATGGTGGCGACAGCAGCCAGGTGCAAGGGCAGTTGAGCTTGAATCCGGGCCTATTGTGACATGGTCGGCGCAAATCCTTCAGCATTGTACTTAAGGACGGGGACAACACCTGTCCTCACAGAACACACGTGTCATTTGTGTGTATGTTTTTTGAGGGTACAATTTTTGAGTTGATACAAAGGGACACCGAAAGGGGAAATACCATGTTGAGGGTCCTTCCTATTTCGATACCTGCCCACTTCGTGTTGCATTTAGCTCCCCAAAAGAATATAGACGTGTTTTGTATGTTTCAGGACATTATACTTTAGAGCCCTGCTCAGTCCGCTGACATTGCATCTCCCATGAATGTCCCTGTCACGTGCCTCATTTCCCCTTTGTTTCCCCGTTTTTCTTGTCATTTCCCTTCACTTCTCCTCTTAATTCCCTCCGTGCATTTCCCCCCTCATTCCCCTCCTTCAGTTCCCTTCAGTTCCCCCTCATTGCCTTCACGTCCCACTTCATTTCCCCCTCATTGCTCCCTGCTTGCCTCGGTTTCCCTTTCATTTCCCTTCATTTTCCCCATTTCCCCCTTCAATTCCCTGGAGGCGGAAGACAAATAGCCGGCAGAGCCGGCAGGGGGATTCGAGTCTGCAACCCCCTGTTTTTCCACAACGGCTCCAACCCCCCCCTACTGGCACCCCCACCCAAATGCTACGTATCATGTTCTGGGGATTGGGGGGTTAACCTCCACCCTTTCTTGCGTCCGCCACACCGAACAATGTCGGCAGACTTAATACTTATGATTATGAGTTGTGCGTTTGTCCCGAAAGCATCACAAATGGTTCTTCCCTTGGCACCCGTGGGTCAGAGAGCTTGCTCAGAGAAACTTGCTCGGAGAACTTGCTCAGAGAAATTTCTCAGAGAAATTGCTCAGAGAAACTGCTCAGAGAAATTGCTCAGAGAAATTGCTCAGAGAGATTGCTCAGAGAAAATGCTTGGAGAACTTGCTTCGAGAACTTGCTCAGAGAAATTGCTCGGAGAAACTGCTCAGAGAAATTGCTCAGAGAAAATGCTTAGAGAACTTGCCCAGAGAATTCGCTTGGAGAACTTGCTTCAGGAGAATTTTAACGCCTCCGGCTCAGGCCGCCGACATTACAGGCCTGCTTTCTTACTTGCGTCCCTTTGGAATTGTCCCCTTGCCCCCTTCCCCTCTGAGATTTTTGCTCCCTTTCTTTGTTGAGATCCATTCCCCCTTTCCCCCCTAAGGCCCTTTCTTTGTCTGATTTTTCCCTTTTCCTCCCTAAGATTTTTCCCCCCTCTCCCTGTTGAGATCCTTTCCCCCCTTTCCCCCCTAAGGCCTTTTCCTCCCTGAGATCTTCTCCCTTTTCCTCCCTTTCCCCCACTTTCCCCCCTACGGCCTTTTCCTCCCTGGGATCTTTTCCCTTTCCTCCCTGAGATCTTTCCCCCCCTTTCCCTGTTGAGATCCTTTCCCCCCTTTCCCCCCTACGGCCTTTCCCCCCGCTGAGATCTTCTCCCTATTCCTCCTTAAGATCCTTTGCCCCCTTTCCCTGTTGAGATCCTTTCCCCCCTTCCCTTTAAGGCCTTTCCAGATCTTCTCCCTTTTCCTTCCTAAGATTGTTTCCCCCCTTTCCCTGTTGAGATCCTTCCCACCCTTTCCCCCCTCAGGCCTTTCCCCCCCCTGAGAGCTTCTCCCTTTTCCTTCCTTAGATCTTTCCCCCCTTTCCCTGTTGGCCTTTTTTCCCCCAGATCTTCTCCCTTTCCTCCCTAAGATCTTTTCCACCCCTTTCCCTGTTGAGATCATTTCTCCCCTTTCCCCCCTAAGGCCTTTGCCCCCAGATCTTCTCCCTTTCCTCCCTAAGATCTTTCCCCCCCTTTCCCTGCTCAGATCCTTTCCCCCCTTTCCCCCCTAAGGCCTTTCCCCCCCTGAGATCTTCTCCCTTTTCCTCCCTAAGATCTTTTGCCACCTTTCCCTGTTGAGATCCATTCCCCCTTTCCC